GGGCCAAAGGACAATGTCAGTCGCTGTGACTCCAGCGCGTGACATTTGGATACATATTGTGAGCCTCATGCTCTTCATTGTTGCTCTCTCTTTTTTAAACTTCATTTGTTACATCATCAAGGCACATTTGAAAGCTACCTACAGCACCAGCCCAGAACAAGCTTTGCTGATACGTGACTTCATCGTTTGCACATGGCTTTTTGGCCTCACGAACGCCCACCACAGGCACTGGCCGAACGCCGAGCTGCTCGACTCGGACACGAGCTTGGCTCAGCTGGACATCTCCTCGTGGGCGTTGCGAGGCGAGGCGCACCACGCGGAGCGGAGGCGGAGCACCACCCACGGGAACCGGAACAGGCCCTGCTATAGCCTTTAAAAAAGGTGATCCAGCTGGTGTTCCAATGATTTCATTTATAGCAATAAGTCTGGGTATGTTGCTGGTTGTTACTGGTTGTTGGCATGGCCTTTGATGATTCATAGCTTAAAAGCTCGCGACAAGGAGCTCTTTGACATGGAGCAGTCGTCCGTCCATGTGGCGAACGTCAAGCAAACGTCACCTGTTTTCGTCCGCTCTGGAGACGACATGTACACGAACCCCAGGTCGAGACTTGCACCCAGGTCGTCCGACTTGTACACGAACACTTCTTCACGCTGAGTCGAACGTGCTGCACGGGTGGTTCACCCGGGGTCGACTGATGCGTTTGGACAACTCGATGCGTCGACTCCGAACGAGCCGCGCAAACGCACGCCGAACGCCACGCCGAACACCAGGGCGCTGAAGAAAACGTCGGCGTCTGGACCGGAGCTGGACCAGTTCCGAGCGGGTTTTCCGGAGCTGGACCAGAGTTCATCAACGATGAGCTTAGTAGTCGATGTCATCCCACTCGACCCCACTGAACAAAACCCGCGAAATCGAAAACACACAAAAAAGAAAAACAAGAACACACCCTGTGGATGTGTATTCTCCTGGCACATGGGCTGAACGAAACCCGCGTATTCCTATGCGTCTTCGTATTCGGACGGCGTCCGCTGTGGAACCGGCCCCGCCCAGGGTGCGACATGACCGGGGCCGCAGCGGAGGCCTGAAGATGACAGGGAATCGCAGGAGTTTCAGATGACAGAGATGACATCAATTCAGTCGTTTCAGGCCGAATACATTGGGCGTTTTCAAGAATGAAGGTCTTCAAAGACATGCACACAAACCGCATCAATACAGCTTCTTGTTTAGTTACACAATTAAACCATGCGTGTACGTGTTTCTTCTGCGTGTTGTTATTGTTTGCGGCCTAGATGTTGAGCCTGGACGTCATGCCACTTCATACCAGATCGTCTCACCATGTCTCACTAGTAGTGGCCCAAAAACAAATGTGTGTTTAAAGCCCGGTGGCCCAAACATAACAAGTATCCTAACCAGCAGCCGGCGATGTTTTGCCTTTTTCCTGTAGTCTTCAGTCGCACCTTTTCTGCACCGGATCCGACACAGAGTGACACAGAGCCATTGGGTTGACTCTCAGATCCTCAAGAGAGTCCAGTCCATGTCATTTTCAAGGAAAACGACTGCAGATGATGTTCCTGCAAAGAAAATGCATAGCAACTGCTAGGGATGTGGACTGGTGTTGTGATCCATGCTTCTCATGTCTTTTTGAGCCACTGCTTTAGGAGGGGTCAACGCAGCATAGTAGTTTTCAGCACCCAGTGCAGGATGTACATAAGATGTTGCTTCTACTGGCTAGGCAAAACCATTCCACCCAGTCCGGATACTGTGTGGCATACAGGATTGAAGTCACTACACACCGCTAGAGGGAAGGGCACTCAAGCAGAACGAGGGTTTCGACTCAGGTTTGAGCGGCTTGACTAGCGGTCCGATCTCGGAGATGGAGAGTCGAAAAAGCGCATACCTTTTTGCCATAATAACTTACTCTGTATGTGGAAGTGAATCTCATAAGTCATATAGAATTTACACCAGAATGGCCCACACACCATCCCAGATTCCGGTCCTGTGTGGTAGGTAGCGGGTGTGGTAGCTGGAGCGTCCGCACCGGTCGGTCGGTCGGTCGAGTGCCGGTCGTGCGGGAAAGGCCGGTGCTTTTGCAGAGTTTCAAGGCTTCAGCGTGGTGTCGAGCTTGGTGGGAAGCCCAGCGGAGGAATTCGGCACCTTTCCACGACACCCGAGGAGGTCGGGACTTTTTCAGGGGACTGGCGCCAGCCCTGACTGCCGAGAAAAGGAACAAAGGGGTGGTTTAATATAGGGGGTCAATGCAGGGTAAATATATAGCTTTTTTGTGACCTCCATTTTGGACCAGGGTCCAACTTCCTATCAAAGACAGAGGTGAATACCTGGGGAGCCCAGGTATGCCAGTCCCAGTCCAGTCGTGTTGGTCGCCATGTTCATCGTTCGCAAGTCACATCGTTGGTGGACGCCATCACGGACCGATGGGGGGGCGCGTGGCGGGTGGGGATCGGGGATCCATCTTGGGTGGTTGGGAAGAAGCAACAGAGGTTGAAGGACCGTACCCAGACGCTCCATGGGACTGCCATAGGACTGCCGCCCCATTGACCCCTCAAACCACCCCAATGTAGGCATATATGGCAGTCCCATGGAGCGTCTGGGATATAGACGACTATCCCAATTTGGTACCCCAGGTGAGGGGTCCCAGTTTTTGGTCCCTCAACCTCTCTTGGAAGCATCCCAGTTCTTGGCGTTCGTGTGTTGCATCGAGCGAAGGAAGGGTTTTTGTTTGTTGATGTGTTGCATCGGGTTGACACATGACACATCCACATGTCGCACATGTACATGCATCGAATGGGAGACCAGGCGTGGCCCCCCACCATCGTCCCTGATTCATTCCTCGGATGCTGAGTTTTCAGGGATTCTCTAAGAGCTTTAGTGAATGCACCGATCAAACAGAATCCCACGTCGACTTCTGGATCCACAGGTCTAGGTTTTATTGCAACCAAAATACGTGTGCCAGCTTCGCCACCGGCTTGTGACGGAACTTGAGCGTCCCAGCCAGTGATCCGACTGACTCAAGCGGCCGAAACATGTTTGGTGGCCGAAGCATCTCAAATTTCAGTCTGGGTCACGAACTGAAGAAGTCAGGTACTAGAGTTCAGTGCTAGCGGATATGGCTGGGATGTTGGGCACCCGACCTACCGTCTCCGGGTTGACCTACCGGTTCGCGACTCGTGTTTCGTTTTTTTCTTTTCGCAACTGTCTGGTTGATCTTAATGCTTGGACTTATAGAACGTTCATTTGTTTGGATCCCCCCCCGTTTGAGCTCTGCTGGAGGTTTGGTTTTCGATCATACGGGTTTATGTCACACTGATGTTGTTTTCATTGCCATTTGTTCCCACGACCCATTCCCATAATATCAGAGACCGTTGCATCTGACCAGAGATCCTGGGACGATATGACGATACCTCAGTAACTTCTTTCAGATCTCTGTGCGCTTTCTCTTCCGATCTTCGGTGATTTCATGGTGTTGTTTGTTTGTTTGTTTGTTTTGTTTTTGTTTTTTTGTTTGTTTTTTGTTTTGTTTTTTTTTTTGTTTTGTTTTGTTTTGTTTTGTTTTGTTTTGTTTTGTGTTGTTTTGTTTTGTTTGTTTGTTTGTTTGTTTGTTTGTTTGTTTGTTTTTTGTTTGTTTGTTTGTTTGTTTGTTTGTTTTTTGTTTGTTTGTTTTTTGTGTGTTTTTTGTTTTTTGTTTGTTTTGTTTTGTTTGTAAAGTAACCCCCCCATTGTGATGTTGTTGACAATAATAGTGACTTCGTTGTTGTTTCGTATTGTTTTGTCATGTTCCATGTGTTTTTGTTCATCTCATCCCATGGTTTTAGAGAAAGGCCTGCAACTGAACCAAAATCATCGACTGAGGCTCTGGTAATAGGATAGACCCAGGTCGACCCAAACCCCATGGTTTTACAGTTTTACTTTAACCCCGGATGTTGTGCCCTCTCACTCTCGCCCAGGAGAGTGAGAGCATCACCCACGTCGAGGTGGCGCCTTTTTTTTTCACACGGAGCACGGCGGTGGAAATCCGTGCGGGTGACTGTGATGAGCACGGGTGATGAGGCGATGCACTGCCCTAGGGATCCAGTCGTACCGAACCTCAGGTACGGAGCAGGTTTTCGACACCGCTATGTAGGTTTGGAGGGTCCAAGTACCTTCTCTGGATCCCCCCTGTCCCCCTGAAAGATACATACAACAAATTTTGTTAATGTATTGTTACTACATACTGAAAGAAACAGGTGCAAAAACTTGTTACAAAATTGTGTTTTTGATCTTCGAGAACCACTAAAACTAAGCCGAAGGTCCTCAATGGTTGGTTCAACTTGCACATTTACGCCCAATGTTCTTTTCCGTTTGACTTCTGAAACATATGCGCCTGAGTGTGTTTATTTGAGCAAGTGTTGATTCCTTTGCCTTAGACTTAGACCAGGCAGTTGTGCTTTCTCAATTGCTTCAGCCGGCATTGGAAGCTGACCAGCCTTGCCAGCAAGTCAACTGATTTTTCACAGTCAAACACCTGGTGTCAGACCATCCTTGGCACGTTCGCCTCGTTCGCCTCCATCTATTCCAGTGTCCCAGATCGGGCTCTACAACACGTGCCAGGCGCGCTTGGAAAGCCTGGCGTTACGCTTGGCGGAAGATCCATTAAATACCTTGCGGCGATCGCTGGAAGCGTTGGTGGAATCAGGTGGAGCTGGGAAGGAGCAGGGCACGCCGGGCACCAGATCGCTCCCAAAGTTGTCAAATAGCTGAACTTCACGGCAAAACTTTGATTGTATTCCCATCTTCTCAAGGGATGAGTGTATAGTTGTTATGCAGTTCACTCCAGGATTCTAGTCCAGCCTATCCAAGACTAGCGACTCGCACGTTTTTACTTTAGGTCTTGAGTGTTGTCCATTTGATCCTTGAGGACTGCTTGATGCAGGCGGCATTAACACCAGAACTATGGCTGCCGACCTTTTATTACACCCAGACGCTCCTGGACCCTCATGTGGAGGGGTCTGGACCCTCAACCCCCTATGGTTTTGAGGGACCCAGTCGGGCTGTTTGGAGCGTCTGGGCACACACTGTTTCCTTGCACGTCTTGGGGACAGAGATCAAGTCAACGAGGTATTGACCACTCGTTTGGGTGGTTTTCCCAAAACCTCGCCCGAAAAAAACCAGACACGACCGGTGGGAGCAGTCCTGACTCCCGATCGATTGGGGAGGTGCCAGGGGGGTCAATGGGGCGGCATATATGGCAGTCCCATGGAGTGTCTGGGATATATATATATATATACCAGGAACTTCAAAGTGACCTCCAATAGAGTCCACTTAGAGAAAACATATCAAAGGTGCACTTAACAAGTCGAAAGGGTCACTTGATGTGGTAAGTGACCTTTTGATATTGAAAATCTATCAGGTGGTTTGATGATGGAAGAGGATGATGCGGGGTGAAGAAGGCTCCGCGCGTTCTTCGAAGGCACCTGCGGCTCAGGTGACATGCGGATGGCAGGAGAAACCATGATCATGGGCAAACCATGGTGGTCAGTGCATGTCACAACATGTCACAACATGTACTACCCTATAGGAACTTGGTCTTGCTTTTGCAGCCATGGGTGATGATCATAGCTCTTTGGTGGACCCTGGAACCAAAATGAAGAACTTGACGGAGGAGGGAAGGTGCCTTGCCATGACTATTGGAGCAAACAAATCGAATCCATACCATATCTCCTGGCTGCCCCCTTGGGAATCTGAGGCTTCTTCGAAAGGCAATTGAAAAGAATATGCCTGCATCCGTGAAGGAAGACCAAGAGTTTGTGCCCGGCGGAGACATTAGAACAAGAGGGAACTCCTGGCTTCGAAAAGCTTTTGATGAAGCCCAACTACCCAGGGTTCTTCGTGAGGGTGAAGTAAGGAGGGTCATCCACCAGATTTCCAATGTCCATGGGCTGTGTATCTTGGCACACCATTATAGCATGCACATGATCGTACTGTTTCTATATGGCCATAGAGTCAGATCAGTTTGGTATTTCCTTAGGCCCCTTCACTCGCAAAGATGAGCGGGAAACATGGTTGCTTGATCAGGCACCCTGGCCCTAGCTGAAAAGACTAAATATAATTCGTTCCTAGCTGCTGCCAACATATGGCAGTCTCCCTCACAATTGAGGCTGCCAAATGCCACAAGGTGATGTTACGGCATAAGAAAATGTCTTTCAGACCATCGTCAAGTTCGAGCAGTTCCAATCTGACTATTGTGCACCTGGGACATGAGAGAAAACCATGCATGTGAACCATGTTTCCATGAAACATGGTTTTAATTAAGGAACCCTGATGAATTGGATACCCAACCGATGCCATTCCAAATCCTGGATGAGAGACAAATGCTGCTTAGCTATCGATTTCCACAGATCCATGCCCGTCGCAGTCCATTGTGCGATGACCCTTTCGATTTGTTAAGTGCACCTTAAGCGGCCGCTATTGGGGGTCACTTTGAAGTTCCTGGTGGCTATGAAACCAAGGTTGCATTCGGGTTCAAAGGAGGTCATTGAAATCGCCGACTCTGTTGTATCTCACATATCTCACGATCGTCAGCCTGATGGTGACTCCCCGTTCTCCATGCCAGCCGAATCGGAAGTTGAGCCCACTATTGTGGATGCCCCTTGGTAGCTTGTTTAAAGGTTGCGCATCTTTCCTTGTGGTATGGGTAACCAACAAAACAACCAGTGCACTGATGATGCTCCAATGCAGGATGAAAGTGAAGAAGGTGCAGAAGCTACGCCAAAGAAGAAAGACAAGAAGGCTGAAGGCGAAGATTCTTCATGCAGTTCCAGTGAAGAAGGAGGCGAGTCAGAGGAAGAAAACAACAAAGAAGACAAGAAAACTAAGAAAACCCAAGCGGATGAGGATGAAGCATCCAGCTCTACAAGCAGTTCAGAAGAAGATGAGGAGGAGAAGCGTGAAGAGTTTGATGTTGAAGTTGCAAAGGCCCAAGATGCGATGGCTGAAAGTGAGGATAGAGAAAGGTCAGCGCCTGACAGTGCTGATGGTGACAGCAGTGAAGGCAAAGATGAGGATGCGTCAGAAGTAGGAAGTGAGGGAGATGAAGGCAGTGAAGATGACGGTGATTCACTCGATGAAGAAGCAAAGCATCTAAAATCATGTGATGATCAGAAGAAGGCAGAAGAATGCAGTGAAAGTGATGATGGCAACCATTCAGGCGATGAAGAAGCAAAGGTTCAGAAGAAGAAGGATGAAGGTAAAGCAGTGCCCCAGAAGGAAGCTGAACCAGAAGACGATGAAAGAAGCGATAGTGAAGATGACAGTGAAGCATCAAGTGAAGGAGAAGCAAAGGAGGCTGAGAAGAAGGAGGACATACGCCAGAAGGAAGTTAAACCAGAAGAGA